ACCTGTACCGTAAGAATTTTGAGTCTCTAAAAAAAGAAATTAAAGAAGACACTTTCAATTTTATGTCTAACCTAGAAATGATGAACTTATGGAAATAGAGAGCAGAATTGTGGCTATTAGGCTTCAATGTGGGACTTTTAACAATGGGGAAACGATTGGTTTAAGGATATAAACCTGCAGTTGGACAAGAGGCATGGACTCTCTGAAGTCTTGAGGTCTACTGAGAGCATGATAAATATGGTTGATAACAATATGCTATATTTTAAAAGTTGTGAGACAGTATACTTTAAGTGTTCTCAAAACAAAAATGATGAATATGTGTGATATAACATGTTAATTGGTTTAATTTAGCCATGCCATTGTGAACATACTGTATTCTGTATCATAATTGTGCATGACTTTATTTATGAACTAAATAAATGAATGGAAAAAACCACCACCAACAACAACAAAAAACCCATGACCATATACAATGTTGTGAAATAATGTATTTGTCCTGGGTAGTGTATTGTCAACTTGACACAAGTTACAATTATCTGAGAATAGGGAACCACAATTGAAACCATGCTTCCATAAGATTGCATTTTCAAAATTACTGATGGATATGGGAGGGTCCACTGCACTGTGAGTGGTGCCACTCCTGGGCTGGTGGTCCTGGGGTGTGTAAGAAAGCAGTCTGATCAAGCCACAAAGAGCAAGCCAGTAAGCAGCACTCCTCCATGGCCTCTATATCATTTCCCCCTCTCCAGGTTCCTACCCTGACTTCTAGATGATGCACTATAAACTGTAAGTTAAAATAAGCCCCTTTCTCCCCAAGTTGATTTTGGTCATGGTGTTTTATCACAGCAATAGAAACCCTAACTAAGACACACTAGGGTAGAGATTACAAAGTCTGCTCTTTTGATTTTATTTGTTATATTTTATTGTTTCTTACCTTAGAAACAGTTGAAAATTATCTTGGTTCTAATATTTGTATGTTTTTAGTTTGTTAATTTTTCTCTTTAAAGCCTGTCTCAGAAGCTTTGAAGATCTTATGATCTTAGTTCTAGCACTGGCTATTTTTCCTTCCTGTCTAGCCTTGTTGAGGGTTAGTTTTTAGTCTCTTCACCTAAAAGTGAGGAGACTTTCAACAGTGTTCAATACTTAGAGTAACATTAGCATACAGCTGAAAATGCTCAAGCAATACTCAAATGAAAGCCTCGGCACATATATGCCTGCCATGCTTTGCCTCCCCTCTTCATCCCAGCCCTTTTAATTATCTCAGCATCATTGAAGTTGATCTATCACTGCTTTTATTTTTGAGATAAGGAAATGCAAGATCAAGACAAGTAGACAAATTTAAAGTTCAACCCATGTATGTGTGTCTATGTTCTTAGCCACTGTGCCAGAGAATCTCAGTACTAGCTACTCAGGGAAATCACTTGTGAACTTTGTTAAATTGTCAGCATCATATCCCTAATATAACAATCGAATCAACAAGTAATATTTATTTCAGGTACGAATGAAGTGACTTTGTAAATTTTGCTTTAAATTTTTTAAACCTTTTTTTTTTTAAGATTTTATTTATTATGTACACAACATTTTGCTTCCATGTATATCTGCACACCAGAAGAGGGCACCAGATCTCACAACGGATGGTTGTGAGCCACCGTGTTGTTGCTGGGAATTGAACTCAAGACCCCTGGAAGAGCAGTCTGTGCTTTTAACCTCTGAGCCATCTCTCCAGCCCATGATTTAAATTTGGTGGTATTTTGCATCGAGAGCATTTTCATTTGTAGCCAGGCACTGTGCTACGCCCATGTAATCCGTCCCAGCACTGGGGCTCTAGTAGCAGGAGGATCTTAAGTTTGAGGCCAGGGCTAGTCAGGCAAGATGCCTCGGGGGTGAGGGCATTTGCCACTAAGCCTGACAATCTGAGTTTGATCCCTGGGACCCACATGATTAAAGGAGAGAACCAACTCTGAAAGTTGTCATTTTACCTCCATGTCTGCACTGTGGTATGCACACATACTCCGACATCAAATGAATAACTATAACAATCTTTTTAAAGCTAAAAAGGCCTGATATTGGAGTGACTACAACTTAAAAGAATGACTTTCATTTGTTATTCAATATTACTCAGTTTGTCAGAATTTCCCTGATCTTCAATAAATAAGATGCATAATGTTTTGTAATTCATTTATTGAAGTTAAAAAAACAATGGAAAGCTTGAGCAGTGTAGGATGTACAGTTTGAAAAGGGTTGATGCTTTGGTGACTTTCTTTCTCCGAATTTTGAGATGTTATGTTTTATTGATGTGCTTCCTAACTTGAGATGTTCTATAAAAGCAGGAACTTTGATCCTTGCTAGTATAGGCTCAGGCCTTGACACTTGCTTTTAACATTAGTAACATATTTTTGTGAGTCATTATTTGTGTTGTATGTTGTAAGCTTAAAGAGCTAGAAATGGTTTCCTAAGGATGAGTAATATTAAAAAAGAAAAAAGAAAAAAAAGGTCGGCAATGGTGGTACACACACACCTTTAATCCCAGCACTCCAGAGGCTGAGGCAAAAGAATCTCTGAGTTTGAGGTCAGCCTGGTCTGCATGATGAGTCCTAAAATCATACACATACAAGTAACTGAGCAAATTGTATTTATATATTTATATATTCAGGGTTTATATACAGCAACAGTTAAAGAAGTAAAGGCCATGAATTTGAGAGAGCAAGTTATGGAATAAATGGGAAAGGTGGGAGGCAAGAAAGGGAGGAAGAAAATGATATTTTAATTTCAAAAGAATAAAGCATTTTTAAAAAGATAAAAGCAAAACAAAATAGAAACAGAAAATCCCATATATTCTAAATGCTGTCTTAGTTACTTTTCTATTGCTCTGAGTAGACACCATGACCAAGGCACTCTTATAAAAGAACACATTTTATTGGGGGGGGGGCTTGCTTACAGTTTCAGAGGCTTAGTCCATTATCATCATGGTAAGAAGCACAGCAGCACTCAGGGAAACATGGTGCAAGAGAAGTAGTTCAGAGTTCTATATCCTTATCCATAGGCAGAGAGATTCTGGGCCTGGCATGGGCTTTTGAAACCTCCAAGTCCACCCCCAGTAACACACTTCCTCCAACAAGGTCACACCTCTTAATCCTTGTAATCCTTGCAAACAGTTCCACCCCCTGGTAATCAAGCATCCAAATATATAAGCCTATGGGGGACATTCTTATTCAAACTACCACAATGGTGAAATTCAAAATACAGCTTGTACCACTATGCCTGACTTCATTTTCTTCCTTCCTTTTTCTTTCTTTTTTCTTCCTTCCTTCCTTCTTTATTTTTTTATTGTTGTTGACTTTGCTTTTCAAGACAGGGTCTCTCCCTGTAACCCTGGCTGTCCTGGAACTAGCTCTGTAGACCAGGCTGGCCTTAAACTCAGAAATCTGCCTGCATAGGTCTCTCGAGTACTGGGATTAAAGGCATGTGCCAGCACTGCCCTGCCATGGCTGATTTTTTGAATTCTGGGTATTAAACTTATATTCTTACAATTTCATGGCAAACACTTTCCAGCCCACGAATGTGACATGCAATAACATAAATCTGACTTAGTTGTAGTTACACTGTGTATTTTATAACTTTTCATGCATAGCTAATTTATTTTGTTAATTAGATGCTACATTCCATACATGAGTTCTGATTTCCTTCTACAAGAGCTAGCATACTTTTATACATCAGACAGAGGATGACAGTTCTCTGGAATAGCATAGTATTTAACATTTGTATTCAATTTGTATTCAAAGGTTCACCAAATCACGTTTTTCACACAAATCTGCTAAATTAAAAATATGCTTTCAAACTGACATATATACAAAACGATCTATCACTAACAAATTCTAAGAAACTTCAGAATTAAACTAGTTGAACTCCCTTAGACCAAGAAAACTAACACTTAAACATGATCCTTCATTAAGTAAAAGACAATGCCCATGTACATCATGCCACAAGTCTTACTTTAGTGTTCCTTTTCATACAGATATAAATATATGCTTGATTTCTCTACTGACAAGGCAGCATACATAATTTCTACTAAGTAATGTTAATTTACCAAGTCCCCAAAGCACTTCCTTACTTCTTTCCACCATTACCCAAGTCTCTCTCAGAAATTCAGAAACATGCTCAGCATATTTTGCATATATCCATAATTCCAACACTTGGAGGCTAGAGCAGGAGGAACTCAAATTCAAAGCCAGCCTAGATTACATAGCTAGTTGAATAGTGGCCTGAACTATAAAGTGAGACCCTGTATCAAAAACTAAAGGCCAAGAATATGCCTTAGAGGTGGAGGATTTATCTATTATGTGCAGGATAACCACTTCAAATCCAGTGTAGACTACACAGTGAGTTCCAGAAAGGGAAAGAAGGGAGGAAAGAAGGAGAGAAGGCGAGGAAGATAGGCAGGCAGACAGGCATAATTGTCTTCACATTACACTTAAAGTGATAAGCAACTTATAAAAATAAGTTTTATCTCCTCTCTTTGTGTTTGCTTGAGCATACATTATTAGAACTACTTTTGATATTCATGAATTTTATGATCCCAGTTATAATTTTAAACTGTTAAGTTTTCAAGAAAACTTATTAGAAAATATCATCTGTAAATCTACTTTACTTGGTCACAAGACAACAGTCGTATATCACAATATACAAAAGCAATCCACAGCATAGGTGCCACTAAAACTCATCCATATATATAATCATCTTATACATACTCAACACATGTGAGCACTCTACATTAGAGACCACTGATTAAGGTTATAGAGTTTATTTTCAAAGAGGGTATTATACAAATGTGAACTTGAGTCATTTACTTATCTCAGCTTTAATTTCATTATCCATAAAATAAGGATAATACTTTCAGTTGGCAAATGGATAAACTATGGTATATTCAGACAATAAAATATCTGGCATGAAAAAGAAACCAGCCAGCAAGTCATTAAATGACATGGAAGATCATTAAATGTAAAATAAACAAGCAAACAAAACAACATGAAATGGCTGCATATTATATAATGCCAATTATATGACATTCTGAAAAATGGAAAACTATGGTGACAATAAAAGGATCAATAGTTGAAGGGATGTGGGAGTAGAGAAGGACAAACAGCACAGAGTATTTTAAAGGCAGCAAATGTATTATTATGATTATATAGATTATCACTATAATGTAAGATGCATGCCATTATACATTTATCAAAATGCACAGGATGTACAATACCAAGAGTAAACCCTAGTGTATCATAGACTGAATAGTTGTGATGTGACAGATTCACACACGTAGCAAATGTACCACTTAGGTACAAGATGTTAACAGGAGGGAAAGCTGTATGTGTAAGACAAGGGATATTTGAGAACTCTTCTATGCACTCTGCTCAATTTGACTATGATCCTAAAATTACTCTAAATTTCAAGGCTACTAAAAAAATACAATGGGGCTAGAGAGACAGCTCAGTGACTAAGAACACTTGCTGCTGTTCCAAAGAACGGGACTTCATATGTTGGTTCACAATGGACTGTGACTCCAGCTCTGGGAAATGAGACACCCTCTTCTGGCCTCCTTGGGTATTCACACACATGTGACATACACATTAAGTAAACATAAAAATAAATCTTTAAAAAATAAATACTGATGTATCTTCAAAAGCTGTTGTAATTCTCAAGTCAAACAACGAATATAAAGTACCTAATGCAAATTCTGATAAGGTAATGCAAATTCTTTTTTTTTTTTTTTTTTAAGCAGTGTGACTGAGAACCAATGCACTCACACTAATCATTCTTCTTTTCAGCTTAATAAAGAACCCTGCAGAGAGAGCAGATCTACAGCAGCTCCTGGTGAGTCTCATAGAGCTTATGTATCCATCTGACTGAGCCCCTTTCTGCCCTGCCCCACCTCTTGTTCTTTTGTCAGGCTTGGGGTTACACCGTGCCAGACATCAGTCTCCTAAGTCCTCTTATGAGTTATGAGGTTGGGGTACATGGCTGGGATACAAGTCAGGGAGGGGCCAGCATCCATAACCTTCCTGAGAACAGGACTTTTTCTAGCTCTGCCTGGTTCACCTCACATTTCCTGAGTTACTCTTCATCTAGTTCTTATGTGATGGCAGTGACATAGGAAGGTGATACTTTTTAAGATCCAGACTCCATGCCATGTGCAGCCTTGAGTGTACCTTCCAACAAACTAGAGTTGCTCAGAGAGACAAGGTTGCCCCAGCTTATGTGTGTGGCAGAAGGTCTCTGGGCTTGCAGCTAGACTACTTGTTGCTAAAGGGCCAATGCTAGAAGCATCTTCCAAGTGGTACCCAGGCAGAGACTCTTGCTTTTCCTTCCTGGTAGTTTTTCCTTGTTTTCTGCACACAGGTTCATGCTTTCATCAAGAGATCGGATACTGAGGAGGTAGATTTTGCAGGTTGGCTCTGTTCCACCATTGGGTTTAACCAGCCTAGCACACCAACCCATGCCGCTAGCATCTGAGCCTTTGGGAAGCAGCAAAGGGGAAATCCTGTGCCCAGTGGCATGCCATGTTGCTTTCAAGCCTCTCCCATGCTTGTCGCTGTTCAGATGTGCATCTCATCCTAGCTCTTGTCTCCCTTTACGAATCAGATTCTTCCTCTTCCTCTTCTTCTTCCTCCATAGGGCTCCTTGTGCTCAGCTTCAGTGTGGTTTGATTGATTGATGCTTCATTGTCTACATGCACTGACATATCATGTAACTGTTCAGGTGCAGAATGAGAAGACAGTGTCTCAGTCCCTCTTCGAGAACTTATCATTGATTGGAGGGCCAATTCTTCCACCTTGAGGCGGTTCAGTTGGTCGTGCAAGGCCGCCTTTAGACGCAGCAGGGTCTCCTCCTCCTTTCGAAGCTCCTGTAGCCAGCTTAGCATCCTTTCACCTTGTTAGGCCACTGGTAATGCAAATTCTGATAAGGTACTTGATAATGTCTTGGCAGCATTCAATCTTTCATTCATTCAATAAATATTTAATGAAAGCTAAGAGAAATTATTACTATCATGACCAGGCAAAAATTTTGGTAACTTGTCTTTTTAAAGGAGTTTATTAATTCATTATTTACTTATTTCAAAATGAGACTTGTCACATATGATTACAGAATCTATCAATTACAAGATGATGTTAATAAATTTAATTCAGTGGTTGGTATGTACCAAAAGCAAAAGAGTTTGTCAAATATCCTAATAAAGTGAATGGGAGGCTGGGGAGATGGCATGGTCTGTAAAGTGCCTGTCACATAAGAATGACAACTTGCATCCATACACAGAACCCCAGAATCCATATAAAAGCAGACATGGTGGTACACATCTATAACTCCAACACTGGGAAGGGAAGTAACTGGACAGGCAGATCATGGACCTCATTACCAGTCTAGTCAGTCAGTGAGTTCCAGGGTCAATGAGGGACTCTGCATCAAGCAATATGAGAGAGAACATTAGAGAAGATACTCAACATCAACCTCTGGCCTTCATATACATGCATTTATACTGTATGCATAGGTGCACACACACAAAAGTAAAACAATATAAACTCAATGTGCTTGTGTATATTTATCACAAGCTAAATATAGATGAATAACAGAAACTTCTTACTAGCAATATGTCCTCTACTTCGTAAAAAAAAAAAACCTCCTAAATACGTCTATGAATTTTACCAAGGAAAATGAACTTGTTACCATTTCTGGACCTTAGATGTTTCTTCTTTCTTTCCTTACTTGTGTTTAAATTCCTCACATAAGTGCAGTAGGCTGTTAGAAAACATTAGCCAACACTTAAAATTTATAGAAGGATGAACATAAATCATTTTCAAAGTTTCTTTTAAAATTATAACATCCCTAGTTAATATTCATGAGGATAACTTCACAAAAACAGTTACAAAACTAAGGCAGAGAAACATGGCTATATATAGTTATGCCAGGAGAAGAAAAGGAAATTTCTCTTTCCTTAAAATGGAGAAATTAGGCTCAATGGGAATGTTTCCTAAATAGCAATTTCATAATATTTTAACCACATTATTCATTACTCTGAATAACACTTTGGAGAACCAGATAATAGTGCACAAGAACTGAGTTCATTTGATTCAGACAGGTGGCTAGTCTAGAGCACTGTGTTAGCAGTCCCAACCCACCCACAATAGCCCTAAAGACGATTATGCAAATGCCAGAGACAGGGTATTTTCCCAGGAACAGGAGAAGGGCTCCTAGTAGAAGCTGCAATTGTTCAGCAGTCATGTGGAAAAACAAGCAGAGTTGTGTTGGGGCTCTTTATCTCCTCCCTTAATTGCTGGAGGCAGAATGTTTTCATTGAGGGCACTACTTCAGTATATATGAGCTATATAAACACTTAGACATACACACGTGTGTATTTATTTGATGTACATTTCTCAAAACCCATGAACATTTTATCCCATCCTCACCCCCAAGGTACCCTGGCTGAATACTCTCCCTTCTTATCAATGTCACATTTCATCTGTTAGATACTGTTTCCTTGCTAGTAAGAAGCAGGAATTTAGAAACCTTTGAGCACTTGGTTTTCCACTTTTGTTTTACTTTTAAAACATTTTTCATATATGTGAAACATTTTCTTTCTCATCAGAGACAAAATAACACATGAAACATAAGAAATACAATACTGACATGTGAACACTATTGCTTAACAGCATGCAATGGGGGTGTATTTTTTTATGTAAAGTCATCAGGGTCTTCAGTTTCTAAATGGGTTTTCAAGCAGTTTGCTTCTAACATATGGTTACAAGATTCTCTCTAGAATTAAATGGGCTGGGCTTGGTAGCACATGCCTTTATTCTCAGGCCTGGGAAGGCAGAGATAGGTAGATCTCTGTGAGCTGAAGGTCAGCCTAATCTACAAAGTGAGCTCTAGGCCAACATAGTAAGACTCTTACTTATTATGTAGTGACATTATATTTTATAACTACAAATTTCAAGAAGAAATCCAGATTTTAAAAAAGTTTCTTATCCACTGCCAAAACGTATGGTCACACTTTTTACTGTTACTAATTTGAAACTACCTTAAGTCTTCTGACTTTGTAGAAGTAAAAGCTAAGGTGACTACTATGAATGATGATGGGAAAATTCCCGCCTGGTCAAGCTATTTGGGCTGCAATACTATTTGCTCAGGAATTCTTAGCAACAAAAGCTGCCCAGATGAATGGAAAAAGATTTGGAAGGAATACCTTCAAGCTGCACTGTTATAAGTATCACAACTCTCTTTCTTGAGCATTACTGTTGTTCTAAGGGACCAAATGTGACTATAAAGTGGGTGTACAACATTGACTGAACACAGAAAATATTGAAAGCATTCCACTCTTAAGCCCCACTAAAAAAAATTCTATAACTGTGCTTTCTACTTATGGTGAGATGGCTCATGGACTGGCAAGATAGTTCAGTGGATAAAGCTGCTTGCTACCAAGCCTGAAAACCTGAGTTAAATTCCCTTACTCTTGTGGTAAAAGGAAAGAACAGATTCCTGTAAGCTGTCCTTGGAACACATTAGTTCATGGCTTGTGTGTGTACAGGCATGCATACACACAAGTAAATGTAATAAAAAGAAGTTTTTAAAAGGCACTTGTCAGGCTGGAGAGATGGCTCAGCAGTTAAGAGCACTGTCTGCTCTTCCAGAGCCCTGAGTTCAATTCCCAGCAACCACATGGTGGCTCACAAAGATCTGTAATGAGATCTGGTGTCCTCTTCAGGCCTACAGACAGAACACTGTATATACATAATAAAATAAATCTAAAGGGGGGGGCACTTGTCAGGAACCTAACAAGCTGGGTTAAATCCACAAATCCCATGAGGTAGAAGGAGAAAGCCAAATCCTACAAATTGTCTTACTTTCACATAAATATCCATAAATGCATACATACATACATACACACACACAATAACATAAACAGATGTAGAAAAACTTAACAGTATTTCCAATTTCCATTAAAAATACTAATTCTATGATTCTACTAATCTACTTAAAAATGATTCAAATTATTTATCAGAGTTTTTTTTTGTGTGTGTGTGTGTGTATACACAAACATGTGGTGATATTTTATTTACGATTTATTAAAGCTTGCCTCAGGACTCAGAAAGCAAAGTCAGCCACAAGCCATAGAAACCAGGCACACACCTTTAATCCCAGCAGCCAGAAGCTAGGAGGTGGTGGTATACACCTTTAAACCCAGGACTCAGGATTAAGAGGTATTCGGATCTGACTATACAAAAGTGATCCAGTGCTAAGAGAAAACAGCTCACACAAAGATGATCTCAGTACTTGTTATCACACTTTTAATCCCAGTTATACACACTAGAGAGGTATAAAAGATAGGAGCAGGCTCAGTCTCAGACATTCATTCTCCAGCCACATGAGGATAGGAAGGCATAGATCCTCCAGCCACACTGAGGAGAGACAGAAGTCTGAGGCTTGGTGAGAGTTCTTGGAGACAGGATCAGCCCTTTCAGCCTGAGATAAAGGTAAGAGATAGAGGCTTGGCTGCTTTGCTTTTCTGATCTTCATCTTGAAGCTTGAACCCCAATATCAGTCTCTGGTTTTTTCATTTATTGTGCTACATATGTATATTCACACATATATGTCTATGTTAGCAATACTATATTAAAATTAGGCAGGTAAGCTAGGCCTATAAAATCAACGACTCTGGAGGCTAAGGAAGGAGAATCACAAAGAGCTCAAGTCCTACCTGTGCTACACACTGGTGAGTTCATGGTCAGCCTAGACAATTTGGTGAGACTGCCATCTCAAAATTTAAAAGTAAGAGAGCTTGGGATATAACTCATTGTCAAGGAGCTTGACTAACAACAATCCCCCATGGACTGCCAAAAGGAAAACAAATAAGACATAGATCAAAATTAGGTAATTAGTGAATAAAATATTACATACAAAATTAACTAGGCCTACATTATATATAAAATGATCACTTCATTCTTTAATCTGTTTATAAAAAGCAGAATGAAGCCAAAGAACCTGTTACCACCCTCTAGTTTCTGACTGTGATGATAAAACATGGCTCTGTACTGGCTAATCCAAAAATCGCTGGTGACCACAGGGCTAGGAAATCTGCTGTAAACTTCACAAGCAAGTTAAACAAGTACAGAGTGATCAGTCCAGATTTGATGTATAATTCAGAGTCCTAGAAAATACCAGAAAAACCTGCTTATTGCTTCTCCAAGCATCACAGGTCATGAAGAAGCAATATGAAAACACAGGAATCCCTGGGATTCTAAGGGGGCTGTAAAACACACATATAAATACCTCAATGACATAAGAGATTTTGTGCCTGAATAAAGAAAATATATACCAGACATTCATAGCTTATTAGTAATAAACTGGTAAAACAGTTTTAAATTTTTATCTATTAGAAAATTTTAAGCCACTAGAGATGGCTCAGGCTTAAGACCTCTGGCTGCTCTTAAAGAGGACCTGGATTCAGTTCCCAGCAATGGTGGCTCACAATGGGTCTCTAACTCCAGTTCTAGGGGGTCCAGTACCCTCTTCTGACTTACTTGGCTACCAGAAAGGTAAGTTGTATACTTACATGCATGCAGAGAAAACACCCATATCCACAAAATAAAAACAAATCTTTAATGTTTTTAAATTAACCTATTAGTGTTCATCAAAATTTTAAACAGGTATGCTTTGTTTGGGGATGCCATTTTCTGATTACTAAAGTTAAAGTACAATGATGTTTGTTACAGTAGTATTTTAAATAATTTAATCAATAGAATGTGGATATAAATGTTGAGTAATTTATACCCTCATGCTGAATTTGATGTTGATTAAAATCTTTGTGTTTGTGAAAAAAATATCAGTAATAAAAATACTATTTAATAAGAAAGGATGCAGAATGAAACTTAACAATATTTTCTTATGGGGAGGGTATGGTGACTAAATCTAGGGTCTTATACATGCCAGAGAAGCACTCTACTACTGATGACCTAGTACCGACTTAATTTGTTACTTAAAGTCTATAGTTATTTCAGAAATAATTCCCCGAAAACAAAGTGATTTGTTTTACTGTGAATGGGCAGATGCTGCTGAATTAATGCTATCTAACAACTCCAAAATCCACATGAGTTACAATTAGCACTAATTTTCTGCTCATGAGCCAGCCTGGCTGTAAAACACCTCTGTTTAAAGTCCAGATCTACTTTACACATCTTTCATCCCAGGACCCACCCCACTCTGAAGGGGAGAAGTAGTTGTCTGGGGGAATTCTTCTCACAGAAATAGTACTTCAAGAGTACTGGAAGAAATTAGCCCTACCTCTTAAAGCTCATTTCAGAAATGGTCTATTGTTACCTCCATCTCTATCAGCCCAAGCACATCATATAACCAAGTTCAAAGTCAGGCAGGCAGCAGTTTTTAATCAAGAGAAAAGCTGGGGAATATTTGCATAGCAATAATTCTATTTACAATAAGTTCTGTGGGAAATTTCCAGAACAAGTTCATTGTGTTCACTATTACCACGCAAACATAGCAAGGTGTTGATGCAGTAATTCATTGCTATCAAATTCTCACATGACAAAAAGCAAACAGGAACAGTAAATATGCCAATGACAGAATCAGGATGCAAAAACTTCTCAATGTACTGACGTAATGGAGTAAGCTTAATATAATAGAATCTCATAGGAGTAAAAGTCCTGCTATAGGTTCAACATAAAATGAGGTGACTTAAGCAAGATAGGTGAGAGTCACAGTGGTTTCAGTTTAACCTCAGTAGTTGCTAATGTTATACACATGCCTGACAGTGTAACATAGTTTGTATTGACAGTAATAACATAGCTGAATGCCTAGTCTACATGAAAAACACAATAAAACTTGAAAGAAAAAAAGTAACATGAAGAGTTTGAGGCAATCACACCCAAAAGAATATACTGGCTCTGATTTGTATGTCAATGTCCAAAGAATAATGACTAGAAACAGAATATGTAAACAGTTTTAAACTACATTTCTTAGGAGAGATATCTGAATAAATTACTGATTTGGAGACAGGGAAGACTAGAAACAGGGTGTAGATCAGTAGAAAGAAGAACCAAATATAAAAGTCTTCAAATTCCCTAAAATGCCTTCAGAGTTGCTGAAATAGTAAATCAACTGTTAGAAGTTAACACACATCTATTCATCTGTGGTAACTTTTCTGCAAAGGACTAGACAGGTAAGATTTTGACTTTACAGATCAGAGGGTCTCTGTGGCATTACCCACCATTAAAAAAATGATAACAAGTAAGCAAATGGGTGTGGCTAGTATATAATAAAACTTTACTCACAAAAGCAGGTGTCATGCCAAATGGCAATAGCTTGTCAAAATCTTTTCTATGATGAAAAAAATAGAATGGATGCAGAGTTGGACCATACCACTTTCATACCATTCAATGCTCCAAAAATCCATAAAAGTAACTAAAGCAATTCATCAATACACAAAATAGGCAGGAAAACAACACAGTAAGGTGGATGGGTTAGAAAGGCCATATGCAGATATATATATCAATAGAAAGCTCTTACATAGGTACCTTTCAGGGGAGCACAGCAGAGTGCTTAAAAAACAGAAATAGAAACACAAATACTAGTGTTCTCTATCAGGTAAACAGGACAGACACTAACTTTAATCAATGCCCTTAAACAAGACTTTCCAATCTACATGGGAACACAATGGGAATATCTTCAAATTGCCTTCTTAAAGCCCTTTTATATTTATTGGGTATTACATCTTCATACATTTGTGAGTAAGTAAAACAACAAACTCCAAGCAAAGCAAAAGAAACTATGATTTGGTTTCACCAAAGGTGAGAAATTTCTATTCTATAGAACAAATGAATCAAAACATTGCTCCTTTTGTTACCACATACAAAGGTTTTGGTTTTTTTCAAGACTGGGTTTCTCTGTATAGCTCCAGCTGCCTGGAACTCACTCTGTAGACCAGGCTAGCCTCAAATTCACAGAGATCCTCCTGGCTCTGTCTCCTGAATGCTGGGATTAAAGGTGTGTGCCATCACTACCTGGTTCAACCTTCTACTTTTCTATAACAGATGAGCATAGAAATTGAAAGGCATGTAGAACTTTTTTTTGGGGCCTGGAACTCACTCTGTAGACCAGGCTAGCCTCAAATTCACAGAGATCCTCCTGGCTCTGTCTCCTGAATGCTGGGATTAAAGGTGTGTGCCATCACTACCTGGTTCAACCTTCTACTTTTCTATAACAGATGAGCATAGAAATTGAAAGGCATGTAGAACTTTTTTTGGGGGGGGTCTCTGTGTAACAGCTCTGGCTGTCCTAGAACTCAATTTATAAACCAGATTGGCCTGGAACTCACTGAGATCCACCTGCCTCTGCCTCCCAAGTGCGCCACCACTGACCAGTACATGCAGAAACTTTTATAGCAATCTAAAATTAGTTTGTCAACTACAGATAATCAAAATATAAATCAATCTAAAAGATGCAATCATTTTTTCATAATTTGCCATGTTATAATCATCTTAATTTTAATCAAATCTGTAATTTATAATTTATTAATTAAGGAAGCAATTTTGCATTTTAATCTCTAATTTATACAAAGCAAAAACCTTATCTGGTTATCATTGGTAAGAAATGATATACCTTCTCTAACTGGGGGAGCAAGAAAGAAACAGTGACAATGGAACTGCTTTGAAGACATGAAAACCTAACATAAAGTACGATTGGTAGAGGGCTGTTATAACCACATTGTGCTGCTATTTGCAGAGATGCCCTGACCATGAAACAAAAGTAGCATTTATGTAGAAAATGTTTAGAAGTTCAAAGCAAACAAACAAATTTAAGTTAAAAACTATTAAATTATCAAACCAATAGAAACAGATATTTGATGTTTCACATATAAATACAAGAGTTTCTATACTTCTTTTACAGGAGCTCTTTGGGATACTATTTTTAAAACACACACACACATAGACACACACAGACACACACAGACACACACAGACACACACACACACACACACACACACACACCTCACTTGCACTAGAGAAAAAAATCCATCAACATTGGTTATGTGAATATGTTAAGTGGATATGAAGCCAAAAAGGGAATTTCAACATTATCAGACCAATTCACAGAACCAACAAATCTCATAAAGCTTTTAGAAAACCTTAAAACACAATGATAACATGACAATTCCTTATTACATGTGTGATTTGAACATGAGGTTGTAAAATTCCACTAAACATAACTCCAAACTGTATAAGACAACGAAGGATTAGATAATCGACAAGTGTGGTTTGGAGTTCAGGTTCTGTACAGAGTTATGCTGATAGTACAGGAACCAGAAGGATTAGGAGCTTGAGGACAGTCTAGGCAGTAAGAGCAGAGGTTGGGAAAGATGCTATATATCGTGTGTTTAAAGGTTATTTTGAGCCAGGTGGTGGCAGTGCATGCCTTTAATCCCAGCACTGAGAAGGCAGAGGCAGGTGGATCTCTATGAGTTTGAGGCCAACCTGAACTACAAAGCAAATTCCAGGACTGGCTCCATAGCTACTGGGAAACCCTGTTTTGAGAAACAAAACAAAACAAAATAAAAGATTATTTCTAGGCTTACCTTACAAATTTGACAGAACATTTTTAATATTTTTCTCATGAAAAAAATATCCATATATAAGAAATTTATAATATGTGATCTACTTTTTAACTGAGAGATAATTTATTCCCATGTTGAATAAACAGTTAGAAGTGGTTACTAATAAAAAATTAACAAAAGTCTGGAGAAATGGTTCAGTGGTTAGAAACACTGGTTGCTTTTCTAGAGGACCTGGGTTCAATTCCTAGCACCCACATGGCAGCTCACAACTGTCTGTAACCCCATTTCTAGAATGGCACCAGGCATGCACATGGTACACACATATAAATGTATGCAGGCAAAATACCCATACACATAAAGTAAAACAAAATTTTTACAAAGATTAGCACTAATTCTGAAAACAAATGTTTCATTTGGGGTAATAAAAAGTTTAGCAATTAGTTTCTTGAGCTTGCTTTACTTTGCCCCTTCCCTCCAGTGCTGGGGATTGTAGCCAACTTCTTGTGCATGCTAGGCAAGCATTTATTCTACTACTGAAATTAAATTCATAGCCCTCCTAAAATTATGATCTTTAAAGGAAAGCAGTAAAGAAATCCCCCACTACCACAAATTATGCAGTTTCCTTCATGTGACAGAAATAGAGAGGTCAACACACCTGGAGTGCAATGGACAAACCCTACCCAGGGAAAACCACCTTTTTGACCACAATTATCTCCCCTGCCAACGAAGTCCTTATCATGTCTTTTAAATCTATTCTTTAATTCTCAAAACATACTTCAGTCTGCTATCACTACACTAATGCTGTTAAAATACAGTACCAGTATACATTATAGATACACATCACCCCTTAAGGTTAGCACTGTTGTCAACCTAACCTAGATGAAATTAGTATCAAGAACCAATTTTGGGAGAAGGGACTTACATGTGAAACAAGCTTGTTCCCTAACTAGAACTAATAAATAAATTTAAAAAAAAGAACCAATTTTATGTCATGTTAATTCTTTGTTGTTGTTGGGTGTTTTGTTTTGTTTTGTTTTGTTTTTCAAGACAGGGTTTCTCTGTGGCTTTGGAGCCTATCCTGGAACTAGCTCTTATAGATCAGGCTGGTCTCGAAACTCACAGAGATCCGCCTGCCTCTTGCCTCCTGAGTGCTAGGATTAAAGGCGTGCGCCACCACCGCCTGGCCATGTTAAAATTTTTAAAGTTATATATAATTTCACTTTAGTGTGGTGTAGAAGCATTTCTAAATAGAAAGCTGCCATTTCACCCAGCTTTTCGTTTAATACTGTATAAGAGCAACTGGAGCAGTGCTGTGACTTCCCCATAGTAATAGGTGTGCTGGTTAGTTATCAAGATGATGGGATTGGCAGTTACCCAGAAGACAATCTCTGGGTCTTTGTGTAAGGGTGTTTCTAGAGAAGTTAAATGGAGGCAGGAAAACCAACCTTAAATGTGGGGCAGCACCATCCTATTGAATGCAATCCTGGACTCAAAAAAGAAAGCTGAGCATCAGTGTTCATCTCTCTGTTGCCAACTGTAGACACCCTATGACAAGATGCCTTTCCATCACCTGCCTTCCAACAGAAACCATGCGCCAAAATACAGTGTTTCTTCTTTTAAGTTTGTTTTGTCAGGTATTTCATTGCAGCAACAAGTAATATAATAGGCAAGAAGACAGTTTCAGTAACATTAAACATTCTACCCAATTTTTTTCTTTTTTTTCCTACATCAATTTATTGAAATATAAATTGTCTATAAAACTTAAAAATTTTAAGCTCATAGTTGGATCTTTTAATGCAACTAACTCAATAGTTCACCTTACTAGGTTTTCTAAAGTATCTATTTACCAATTAGTGAGAGAGAATCCTTCAAAACAAACAGCTATAGTACACACAGGGTAGCAAATTACAGCCTCTGATTATTTTACTAAATCAAGTTTGGAGCACTTATATCCATTTGTTTCTCAACTGTCTATGGTTACTTTCACTCTCCATTAGGAGAGATGGTTAATTTGCTAGAGACTACATGGTTTTCAGAGTATGAAATATTTACTATTTGGTCCTTTGGAGGCAGAGGAGGGCATTGGCTAAGCTCTGCTATGGATGGCTAAACATAACCCACTGGGATGACTTCTCCTTTTTTCCTTCCTCCAATTATTCATTAAAGTTAAGACAGAGGTAATTAAACACCTGACTTCACACTGAAGATTAAAAAAGGTCAAACTTGGAGGCAGCCTTGTAGTATTTCTACCGTATCTTGAGAACCCGGGGGAACCCTTTCCTCAGATTTTAGTTCCTCAGATCTTCTTGTGTGTTTGTCTGTTTCTCTGAGACAGAAACTCACTATGCAACTTTGCTATATAGATCCAGGCTGACCTCAAACTCACAGAATTCTACAATTAAAGGCATGCACCACTAAGGCAGGATACTCCTCCACTGATGGTGGGAGTGCCAACTTGTAGCCACTTATGGAAATCAGTATGGAGATTCCTCAGGAAAATGGGAATCAGTCTACCACAAGATCCAGCAATTCCACTCCTGGACATAAACCCAAAAGATGCACATTCATACAATAAGGATGTCTGTTCAACTATGTTCATAGCAGCACTATTTGTAATAGCCAGAACCTGGAAGCAACCTAGATGCCCTTCAACTGAAGAATGGACAAAGAAAATGTGGTACATTTACACAATGGAGTACTACTCAGCGGAAAAAACAATGGAATCTTGAAATTTGAAGGCAAATAGTTGGCACTAGAAGAAACCATCCTGAGTGAGGTAACCCAGTCACAAAAAGACAAACATGGCATGTGCTCATTCATATATGGATTTTAGACAGGGAACAGGGGATTGCCAGCCTACAATCCCACCACCAGACTGTATGGGAAACAGAGAGGACCTTAGGAGGGACATGCATGGTACCCCGGAGAAGGGGAATATTACAGGATCTCTTGAGTAAGTTGGGAGCATGGGGGGAGGGGAGAAGGGGAGAGGAGGAGAGGAGAGGAGGATATGGGGGAGCAGGAAGGTTGAGTCAGGGGAAGAATGGAGGAGAGCAAGATGGGAGATATCATAATGAAGGGAGCCGTTGTAGGTTTAAAGAGAAATCTGGCACTAGGGAGATTTCCAGAGATCCAAGGATGACACCAACTGGCAATCTAAGCAATAGTGGAGATGCTACCTTAAATACCCTTCCTCAATAATGAGGTTGACAACTACCTTATATGCCATCCTAGAGCCTTCATCCAGTGGTGGATGGAGGCAGAGGCAGACACCCACAGCTAAACACTGAACTGGACTCCTGGAATCCAGTTGCAGAGAGGGAGGAGTGATGAGCAATGGGGTCAAGACCTGGCTGGTGAAACCCACAGAAACAGCCGACCTGAACAAGGGGGAGCTCAGGGACACCAGACTGATGGCTGAGAGGCCAGCATGGGACTGATCCATATCCCCTGAACATGGGTATTAGTGAGGAGGCCTCAGCAATCTATGGGGCCTAAGGTGGTAGACCAGTATTTATCCCTGGCACACAAATGGACTTTGGGAGCCCATTCCACATGGAGGGATACTCCCTCAGTCTGGACACATAGGGGAGGGCCTAGGTCCTGCCTGGGATGATATAGCAGACTTTGAAGATCCTCATGGAGGGCCTCACCTTCCCTGGGGAGCCGAGGGGGGATAGGGTAAGAGCTTGTGGGGTTGTTGCAGGGCAGGGGAGGAACGGAGGGAGAGGGAGCTGGGATTGACATGTGAAGCAAGCTTGTTACTAATTTAAAAATAATAATAATAAAATGAAAGATATGAAAACAGAACTTTCTAAAGACCAAAAACCCTGGAGTCCTCAAAGTGGTCAAGAGTTCAGCAACTGCACTGGCATCTTCTTGTTTGGCCTCACATCTGTAGAGCCTTGTTTCAGACAGTGAAAGGCCTGAAATACATGCTTAGGGTGGGGAGTGGCAGAATTACATGCAGAAAACCTCCACTCTTGCCTCAACAACTATGACTTTCAAAACAACCACACCTGGAAGCAATTTCAGTTGCTACTATGGTCTATAGTCTAGGCCATGCCCTGGTTACAGAGATTTGAGGTTACCTGTTCTCCACTGTCATTTATTTCCACTTTTTCAACAAAACACAGCTGTCATAAACACACAAACTGTGTGCTCTTCATTACTTTCAGCATGTTTAAGGCCCTAGGTTCAGAACTCAGTATCATAAGATAAAGTCCAGCAGTGCAGGCCTGTAATCCCAGCACCTGGGAGACAAATAGGAGAATCAGTAGTTCAAGGTACATATGGTATTATGAAGCCAGCACTGGCTCTATATGAGGCCCTGTCTTTAAAAAAAAAAAAAAAAAAAAAAAAAAAAAAAAAAAAAACAATACCCACTCTTTCTCTTGTTCTCAAAACAAATTTTTTTTTTTTTTGTTTTTAAAAAAAAAAAAAAAAACAATACCCACTCTTTCTCTTGTTCTCAAAACAAATTTTTTTTTTTTTTGTTTTTAAAAAAAAAAAAAAAAACAATACCCACTCTTTCTCTTGTTCTCAAAACAAATTTTTTTTTTTTTTGTTTTTAAAAAAAAAAAAAAAAAAAAAAAAAAAAAAAAAAAAAAAAATGAAAACACCTCGAATGGTCTCTGTCTCCTGGTATACTAAAATCTCTATTTTTTCTGATTCTAAGAGAATCAAAATAAGATTTGACATAGACCAGGGAATGAACACTAAGTCAGGAAGAATCAAAAGAATACACACAAAGAAGCTAAAAGGATGCCCCAGTGGTTAGGAGCACCTGTTATTTTTGCAGAAGACATAACACAGGTTTGGTTCCCAGAACCCACATGCTGGCTCACAACCACTGGAAACTCCAGTTCCAAGGGATCTGACCCCTCTCCTAACCTTCATAGGCACCAAGCATGCACAGGTGGGCATACATACATACACACAGGCAAAACATGCATACACTTAAAGTGAAATAAATGAATCTAGAAAAAAAAATCACACAAAAGATGTTCCAACTATAGAAATGTATGTGTTCACAGCAAAAAAAGAAAAAGAATTCCTGATGTGATTTTTACCTTCGGTTCATTCAGCACTTGTTTTTGTCTATTTATTTGAGACAGGATCTTAAACTTGTAGTCCAGACTGACCTCAAATTTGTGGTACTCCTACTGCCTCAGCCTGTTGAGTGCTAGGATTACATATATGAACTATCACACCTTCTCTATTCAACAGTTTTTATATACCTTGCATCCATATTAAGAAGCAATAATCAGGGGCTAGAGAGATGGCTCAGAGATTAAGAACCCTGTCTACTCTTCCAGAGGCCTTGAGTTCAATTCCCAGAAACCACATGGTGGCTCACAACCATCTGTAATGAAATCTGCTGACCTTTTCTGGCATTTAGGCATACGTGCAGACAGAACACTGTATATATAATAAATCTTTTAAAAAGTAAACTTAAAAAAAAGAAGCAATAATCAGCTGGGTGTGGTACAATCTTAGCACTCTAGAAGCTAATGATTATAGTGCCCTATGAAGCCAGCTTGGGCTATAGAGTAAGTTCAATGCAAACCTGGGCTAAATAGCAAGACTCTACATTAAGAAATCATAAATAAAATAACCACTTAGAAAAAAGAGAAGAGTAATGAGGTCAGAAGATCTAGCCTGATGAGGACATCAGCTCATGTAGACTGCTTCAACTCCTCCCCAATCCCAAGCATCTAAATAAAACTGCT